TGCCGCTCCTGATGACACCCCCACCCCCACCATTCCCCCCTCCTCCGCTGTCGGCTGCGAGGCGCTCCCCAGAGGATGGAAGAGGGGGCTCAGGTCTCAGGAGCCCCACCTGTGAGTACACTTCTCCAGGGAGGACGGGCCTGGGCCGTGGGTGCCAGGAGTGGGCACTGCTGGCCTCACCCCCGAGGTCCTTTGAGGGGGTGGGGGGGGGGGTAGCTGACTCCAGGCAACTGTGCTCAGGATACTCAGGACCTGGTTGGGGTCACCATCTCCCACTGCCCAACCCCCAGCTTCTTCCAGGTTTCCTTTGTTGTTTTAAAGTGAGACCAATTAAACAGCCTCCTGCCCAGTCAGGGTCCCTCTGTGAGCTCTGGGCCCCTGGGGCCTGACTACCCTGCCTGTGTGGTGATGGGCAGCCCCCTCGCTCTCTGGGCCTCCGTAGTCCAGAGGGGAATCCCCTACAGACATGCTGCTGCTGCTGCTGCTGTCTGGACACCAGCAGGGACAGGGACACAGTCCTTAAGCTGCTTCACCACCCGGACCTGCACTTATCAAATGGAATGGAGCAGCCGAGAAATGTTCGCAGGCCCTACGTAGTGAGGCAGCAGCAGTTCATGGGGTACATTGTCGCCAGGCAGGACTGTGTGGCCCGGGTGTGATGCAGAATGTGTTTCTCATCAGGGTGGGGCCCTGGTGTGTGCCTCTGTGTGGGTTCAGGGGCATTGAGGGTGGGACAGGACAGGCTTTGTGGCTCAATGGGCGGCAGCAGGTCCCCAGACCACTGGCTGTAGCAGGACTGGGGAGAGTGAGAACTGGCCGCGGAATGGGACGATAACAATAAAATGCAGGCTCTCCAACCAGCCAGCCTCTGGAGGCCTGTGCACGTCCCTGGGTGCTTCTGGGGAAGGGGGGCTAGTTGGGTCTTTGGCTCCAAATCCAATATCCTTCAGGGAGGCCGGCGCTACCCCAGGTCCCAGGTCTCTGCTCCCCGGCTCCCTGCCCTGGAAGCCCCTCTGACTCCAGTTCCCCCTTCCACCCAGCAGCAGCGTCTCTCAGCCCCGCCTGGCCTGGCCAGCCTGACCAGCCTCTTCCGAGGGAGCAGATGACCCACGCAGCCCGCCTGGGGATCAGCACCAGCGCCATGGTTGTTACTACGGTGCGTCCTCACCGTCCACATCTCTGTCTCCCAAGGCCGCCAGCCAACCCTCGGAGCCCAGCCAGTGTCCTCTGGTGTGAGCCCAGGCCAGGCCACTTCCGAGGCAGCCAGGGCCTTCCCCACAGGAGGCGTCAGGTCGAGCCTGGGCGCAGGCTGGCTCTGGAGGCCACCGTGGGTTCTGAGGAGATGGGAACTTCAGGGCCACAAGCAGCTTATCTTCCCAGCACAGAAGGCATGGGACCCTTCTCTGACCCCAGGGAGTCCCAAGCTCCCTGCTCCTGACCTCTGAACTCAGGATGCTTCCGCCCCTCCAAAGGTGCTGCTGTCATGATACAGAGAAGCAAACATCCACGGCTGAGGGCGGCCTGGTGCCACTGCCCTCCCCCTCCCCCTCGTAGCTCTCAGCCAGCCAGGACCCATGGGGAGGGGGAGGCCCACTTCCTTCCTTGCCCTCTTTCTGGGCAGGAGGCCCTTACAAATCCTGCCCACCGTTCCTTGAATGGGTCCTGGAACGCTCAGCGGCTGAGATGTCCTGTGCCAGTTTGGGAAATGCTGCTCCCTCTTGGAGAGTTATCGGGGGTGGGGGGTGGGGGGACCCCTTAAAGGCCCTGGCAAGTCCTGCAGTCCAGAAATTGGGCCACCAGGACTCTGTCTATGCAACTGTTCTGCAAACTTGTTTGCCCATCTGCATGGCTTACTCTGAGCAACTTCTTCCCGGCCAGACACAGCAGAGCAGGAGGAATCTCTCCTTGCCTCTCACCCAGCGCTCCCCCACCCCCCAACCCCCCTACCACAGGGGGCACTGCGGGTTCCTGCTCTCAGAAAGCTCACACTTCCTAGACTGGGCGTGCTGTCCTTGGTCTCCCCGCCCTCCCTGCCCAGCCCCCACCGCCCCTCCTCCCTGGGCTGTGCTGGCCCCAGGTGGCCCTCCCTTCCTCTCCCTGGCAGGGCTCCCTAGGGGCCCTGAGTTACCTGCTCTTGTTCGCACAGGGGGCAGAGACAGCAGCAGGGGATGCCCCCCAGGGGCTGGCCGCACTACAGCTGGATGGACTGCCCTCTGTCGACCTCGATGGGCTGGTGTCCACGCGTGATTGAGCGCGGGCGGCCCATCCCGGAGGGAAACAGCAGGTGATCCTGCGTGAAGCTGCATACACGCCTGGGCGATAGAACCTGCCCAGGAAACTCCCATGGGGCTGGGCCAGTGGGATGGGGAGAGAGGGGCAGGGTCAAAAAGATACATGAGTGTGTTGTCTTGTGGGCAGGGCGGGGGCGGGGCGGGAGCTTTGTCCTGGCAGGTGGACATGGAAGGTGAGGTCCTGAGGCAGAATGAGTTGGCCTAAGGGAGGACCAGGAGGAGGCAGGAGTGGAGCGAATGAGGACGGTGGGCAGAGGTGAGGTCAGAGAAGGGACAGCAGATATTACAGGACCTCTCGCTGCAAGGCCTCAGGGGAGCCTTTGGAAGTCTGAGCAGAGCCCTGGCCGGTTGCTCAGTGGTTAGAGCGTCCGCCCGAGGACCCAAGGGTCACGGGTTCATTCCAAGGGTCCATCCAGGGCACATACCTCGGTTGTGGTTGCATGTTCGATCTCTGGCCCTGGTCGGGTTAGGTTTAGTGTGTCACTCTCACATCGATGTTTCTCTCTCCCTGCCTCCTCCCTCTCTTCCACTCTGTCTGAAAATCAATGGGAAAAATATCCTCTGGTGAGGATTAAAAAGGAAAGAAAATCTGAGCAGAGAAGGGCTGTGGTTTGAGGTGGACTTTGGCAGGCTCCCTCGCCTGCCGTGTGGACAGTAGTCCTAGAGGCCTACCCTGGAGGGACACGGTTTTGTCTGAATGAGGTGCTCTGCACCCCTTGCCGTAGAGCAGCCCCTACAGAACAATAATACCCATCACCTGCGGCTATTTAAGTCCATTAACAGGAAATAAACGTCAAAGCCCCTCCCAGAACTGTGGCCCCTCCCTGCCCATGGGCTCCTGAGCTAAATACCCACTGACTGGCTCTCAGAACTTAGTGCAGAGCACGCCTGGCACCAGGTAGGTTAGGCCTCTTGGCAACCAGGCGGTAGTTCGCCTGTGAAATGGGCGCCTCCCCCAGGGGTTCTGAGAGGTAATCAAAGGCCCGGAGCCTGGACCCAGAGGGAGCCCAGCTCAGGGTCCCTCCGTGTCTGTCCCCCGAAGACTGTCAGCACTGGGGCAGGGAGGGCCCAGGGGTTCTGGGGTGAACCATCGAGAGAACCCAGAGCAGAGTGGCTGAGGCTGCCGTCCTCCAAGGCCGCCCTCCATCACAGAAGGCTCTGGAGTTTGGCGGGAGGAGCAGGAGGCTCTGAGGAGAGAGATCCTTGCATTAAACATTGGGGAGATGAGGGGGAGAGATTAGGCAGAGCAGACACCCACTTTCTTTGAAGGGGAAGGCTGGGCCCCCACAGGGCTGGGGGACTGCCCTGAGCTTCAGTCTCTAAGTCCAGGCAAGAGCCAGCTGGTGTCCAGGGCTGGCTCCCCAGGGGCACCGGGAGCAGGCCACCTCGGGGAGCTTGAGTCCAGCAGGAAGGAGCATGCCCTCCTAGCCACCCACTGACCAGCCCTCCCTGTGCCCAGGAGGACAGCGGGAGCGCGGGCCCCACGGAGCAGGCGGCCTGGCGGTACTCGCAGACCCACCAGGCCATCCTGGGCCCCTTCGGGGAGCTGCTGACGGAGGACGACCTGGTGTACCTGGAGAAGCAGATCGCCGACCTGCAGCTGCGAAGACGCTGCCAGGAGTACGAGAGCCAGCTGGGCCAGTTGGCGGCAGAGCTGCAGGCCCTGCTGCCCGAGCCCCTGGTGAGCATCACCGTCAACAGCCACTTCCTGCCCCGGGCGCCAGGGCTGGAGGGCGAGGAAGCCCCCTGCCCGGTGCCCGAGCCCTCGGGCCCTGAGGTGGCCGTGGAGGCCGTGCCCGGCGGGCAGCCCCTGCCCTTCTGGTGCAGCCACGTGGCGCGGCTGGTGCGAAGCATGTCGCTGCTGCTGAAGGGCATGAACGGGCTGGTGCAGGGTGAGGAGAAACCGGCCGTGCAGCCCCCCCAGGAGGCCAGCAGGGAGGCCCCGGCCAGCCCCCCACAGAGCGAGGCCCAGCGCGAGATCCAGGAGTGTGGGGTGTCTGTGCGGACGCTCCGTGGCAACTTCGAGTCGGCCCCCTGCCTGCCCTGCATCCCAAACCTCGGACCCTGTGAGGCCGGGGCCCCGCCCGGGCAGTGCCCCAGGGGCTGCTGGCCCGCCCCCCCGCAGCCCCGGGGCAGCCCGGTCGGAGGGGAGCCCGGGCCGGGCGACACCGAGGAGGCCAGCGACTCAGGCATCAGCTGTGAGGAGGCCCCGTCGGAGGTGGGTGCGGGGCACAGCCCTGACCTGGCCAACCTGCGGAAGGAGCGCATCGTCATGCTGTTCCTCAGCCACTGGAAGAAGTCGGCCTACACGCCCGCGCTCAAGACGGCTGCCTGCAGGACCCTGGAGGCCCGCCGCGCTGGGCCGCGAGGGCAGGCGGTGGCCAGGGTTCCTCCGCCGCCCTCCCCGCCGCCCAGCGAGGGCCCTCGGCTGGGCCACCTGTGGCAGCAGCGGACCATCATCACCCACCTGCTGGGCAACTGGAAGGCCATCCTGGCGCACGTGCCTGCCCGGCAGCTGCGGCGGCTGAGCCGGCGGCCCCAGGGCCTCCTGTCTCCCGAGCAGTTCCTGCCCCACGTGGACGGGGCGCCTGTGCCCTACGGCAGCCTCACGCTGGACCTCTTCATGCTGGGCTACTTCCAGCTCCTGGAGTGCGACCTGCCCGCCGAGGAGAGGAAGATGCGCCACCTGCTCTGCTTCGAGGTCTTCGAGCACCTGGGCGCCCACGGCTGGGAGGCCGCGCGGGCCTTCCACAAGGCCGTGACCGACGAGGTGGCCTCCGGCCGCCGGGCCTGGACCGATGGCTTCGAGGACATCAAAGCCCGCTTCTTCGGCTCCAACCGCAGTCCCGCCTGGGACGCCGAGCCTGGCCGCAAGTCAGGCCTCACCCCGCTCGGGCCCCTGCCCCACACCGCCAGCCCCAGTGGCGGCCCCGAGCCCGCAGCTCAGCGGCTGGGGTCCGGCTCCCAGCGGGGCAGCTTCAACAGCGAGGACATCTGCGGTTACATCGACCGAAGCTTCGCCTTCTGGAAGGAGAAAGAAGCCGAGATGTTCAGCTTCGGAGACTGAGAGGGCTGGCAGCCCCTTCCGGAGGGGCCCTGGGGTGGTTTCGGTTCTCTCTCCTCTTGTCCTTTTTCATCCACCTGGTGGCCAGGTGATCCCCGCCAGGCAGGCAGACACTCAGCGTGCTAGCGCCCCCCAGGCCTGCCCTTGAATCCTTCCTCCTCGGCTCTGGGCTCAGCCTCAGAATCCTTCTCACCACCGACCCCAAGAGGCCTCTCCGCTCTCCTTGGGCCCCGAAGTTGACCAACTCCTGTCCCAGCCCCAGGTCCCTCTGCCCGACTGTCCCCTGCGCACCTGGGATGCCAGCCCATGTTCTCCGTGGGTCCTCCTCCCAGTGCCTGCGTGTCCGGCCTCGGTTTCTCCTGCTGAGCTCAGGCTGCCCCTCCACGTCCCCTGGCCTCTCTTTCCCCATCTGGGAAATGGGAGAGGGGCTGGGGGTGGGGGGTGGAGAGAACAGGAGCCAATGGCAGAGGCCTTCCTGTCAGAACTGCCCCCCGAATTCCCCGGGTCAGGGAGGTGCTCACACGGGTGCATACTGGTCACCCGCAGCCACCCGCTGACACACGCACCCACCCCGGGAGTTCCAGGGGACCTGGTTCCCTGTGGGGCTCCTGTCCTCAGTTTGACAGCCCCGCCCATGCCACGTGGCCCAGGCAGCAGGGACGGCTGTGATGCAGGCAGTGGCTGCAAAGGGCTCTGAGCAGAGAGGGGCACTGCCCGCCCTCAAAGGTGGGCTGCCAGATCCAGAGAACTTGTGGGGGGTGGGGGCACACTAGCCCGGCTGCAATGAGGTTCAGCCTCTCCTGTGGCCGCCCAGGTGCCACCCACACCCTTCTCCGTGAGAAGCTGAGAAAGGGGGTGGGTGCCCCCAGGGAGCCTCCGGTGAACAGAGCATCTCGTGAACAGGTGGTGCGGACGGAGCCCCGAATGGTTTGTCCAGGCCCCAGGGCAGCAGGATGATGGGCCCCAGGCTGTGGGGTTTGCCCAGGGGACTTGGGGAGGGTTTCCTGCAGCTGTTCCACGGCCCCAATAGGCAGCGTGTGGGGAGGGGCCTCAGGACTTCCTCTGGCTGCCACCTCCCTGCAGCCAGGCCCCTGACCGACAAGCACAGCAGATGAGTCGTGGGATGGAACAGCCCTCCCGGCCAGCCCACTCGGGGTCCCACAGGGAGAGACACCTGGGAGATGTAGCAGGAGTGTTGGGCGGCCAAGGCTGCCAGGCCCGAAAGGAGGACACAGATTTGCTAAATAAAGACTCCCATTCCCGGCTGGTCTTCACGCTGTGCTTGCTGCCCCGGGGAGAGCTGCCTGTGCCCAGAGCGGGTCCCAGCTCTGCGTGGGCACCACGACCGGAGTCCTCATCTCGGCGTCACCGTCCTTACCCGGCAGAGCCTCCGCTTCCTCACCTTCGAACGGGTGCAGCGCTGACCTGCCCTCCAGGGTCACGGTCAGGGCGGACTGAGGTCCTTGGGGGGGGGGGCTCTGTCCTGAGACCACAGTGGCACTCGCCCACCTGCGGTCATTATTCAAGGAGCAGGTCCCAATGAGCAGAGCGCCAACCCTGGGCTCCCACAAACACCTCCACGCTGCTCCCCAGCTCTTGGCCCCAAAGCATGTCTGATGGAGCCAGACGGGAGCTGCCTGGGGCTGGGTGAGCCCCGGGGGTGGGGTGGGGACGCCAGGAAACGTGGGCATTCGATGACTCCATCCCTGTGCTGCCTGCAGGACCTCGTTGTTCTAAGGGCCGGGCAACAGAGGGGCCAGGATGGGGGTGGGGGTGGACAAGGCCTGGCCGCAGAGGTGGTCTTCTGGCTGGGGTACTGGGCGCAGGACACCTCACTGGGACACCCCTGCCCACTCGCCGTGGCCTGGGGCAAGTCCCTCCACCTCTGGACCGAAGTTTCCCAGCAGGGGGTTTGGGCCAAGGCCAGCAGGGGGTGCCTCAGAGCATCCTGGGTTCTGGGAGGACATGGGGTCGGGGTGGGCTGCCAGGAGAGGGGTGAGGTGGAGGCTCACACCCAGGTTTTCGGCCCGGAAGGAGGGAGAAAGCACCTCAGTAGACACCATGCTTCCTGGGGGGTTTATATGAACATGTTGTTCTGGGGCAGCCCCACCCATTCTGAGCCCCTCGGCCTCGGCTGGTGCTGGGAGAGCTGGTGCTTTTCACGACGGTCCAGGTGATTCTGATGATCAGCAGCCTGAGCCCCGGCCCACTAGCAACTCTTGTGTGGGGAGCAGGGTCCCCCGCAGTAGACACTGGCCCAGTAGGGCCTGTCCGAGGACCTCAGAACAAGGTGAACCCCAGGGCCTCCCGGTGAGTTAGAAACACACGGGAGAGAGGGAGCCCTGTGCTCGTGAACAGGTGGTGCGGACGGAGCCCCGAATGGTTTGTCCGGGCCCCAGGGCGGCAGGATGATGGGCCCCAGGCTGTGGGGTTTGCCCAGGGGACTTGGGGAGGGTTTCCTGCAGCTGTTCCACGGCCCCAATAGGCAGTGTGTGGGGAGGGGCCTCAGGACTTCCTCTGGCTGCCACCTCCCTGCAGCCAGGCCCCCTAAGGCAGTGAGAGAATATCCCTCCTCGTGGCCGGAATGCACCCGGCACCTGTGCGCACCGATGCGCAGGTTCAACACAAGCCCACCTTTCCCCAAGAAGGCCCCAGCTGCCCTGGCCGGGTTGCGCAGTGGTTAGAGCGCCGTCCTAATACACCAAGGTGGTAGATTTGGTCCCTGGTCAGGGCACACAGAAGAATCAACCAAGGGTCCGGCTAGCTTGGCTTGGTGGTTGAGCGTCGACCTATGAACAGTTCGATTCCTGGTCAGGGCAGAAGTGACCTTCCAAGTCTTGATATCAAGTAGGTCTCAAGACTCCCACCTTCGCTGCTCCCGTCTCCGGGGAAACCGCTGCCGTGTTGGGAGCAGCCCTGTGCAGAGGCCCGTGTGTGAGAAATGGAGGCCACTGGCCCAGTCCAGCCTTCGGTGCCTGCTTGGTGCCAGCTAAGAGATTCTGAAGGAGAACCACCCAGAAACTGTGAGAGATCATTAATGTTTGTTGTTTTAAGACACTAGACCAGCCGTGGGCAAACTACGGCCCACGGGCCGGATCCGGCCCGTTTGAAATGAATAAAACTAAAAAAAAAAGACCGTACCCTTTTATGTAATGATGTTTACTTTGAATTTATATTAGTTCACACAAACACTCCATCCATGCTTTTGTTCTGGCCCTCCGGTCCAGTTTAAGAACCCATTGTGGCCCTCGAGTCAAAAAGTTTGCCCACCCCTGCACTAGACTGTGGGGTCATTTGTTATGCTGCAGCAGCAAACACATACAACAGACAAGGAAATTTCAGAAGGGAAGAGATCGTAATTATGGAGCAATGGTCCATCCAACCAGCTGGTTCTGACCCCAGAAAACAGTCCCTCGGATCCACAGGCCAGAGTAGAGGAAGGTGAGACACCTCCCCCAGAAAGCTCTGCCCCGAGATACACATGGTGCAACACGTCCTCGGGAAAGAAGGGAGTGTCCATAATAGTCCCGAGGAGGTTGTCAACTAATTGGGGGGGAGGATGACCTATGGCCCCATGCCCCAAATAAATCCCAGACGGAATAAGATACCCTGAGCAAATAAGGCCGTAAGACGCCGGCAGAGGGGGTGGGAGGGCCTGGTTGCGCCAGGAGAGCCTCGCGGCATGCAGGCGCCAGGCAAGCACAGGGACAGTGATACCTCCCGCGAGACAGTGCGTCACTCGCCCACGCGGGACGACCCTGGGTGCAAGGTGAGCACACGTAACTTGGTGGTCTCGCTCTCCGAATCTACCCCGGGAAGTAAGCGGAGGCGGCACTATGCACCCAATCGAGTCTGTTCAGAGAGGTGACTGGACAGCGCCTCCAACTTCCTAAGGTGTGGTGGGTCCCTATGAGGATGAGAGTTAAAATCAGGCTTTCCAAAGGCCGCTCCCGTCAGCAGTGCTTGCGATGTGAGTGACCACGCCGGACGCAAGCACCTGCCCGCAGGCACTCTAACGACAGTGGAAGGCGGAGAGGGAAGGGGCCGCTGTGTTAATGGGGCTTGTCTTACTGGCTGCATTTTCTGTTTTATATTTTTCTGTGTTTTCCAAATTCTCCACAGTAAGCATGTGTGGTTTTTGTCATGAAAAGAAACCAGCAGCGTATTTTTAAAAACGGCACCACGAGTGGTGATCTGTTGACGAGAATCTGGTTTGAGCCCTGGTATCGAGTTTCCCAAACTGACCTGTCATTCAAGGGGCTGGGCCTCCATGTCCCGGGAAGGTCTCCATTCAGTGCCCAAGCTGGGCGGCTCTGGTGACAGCAGCTTCTCATCAGAACCCTGTCCTCGCTTCCTCCAGCGTTAGCCCTGGTGTTCTGCCTGCAAACAGGGAGCTGAGGGGTGGTGCAGGCACACACTGAGTCCTCTGTTCCCGCTCCACCACCCGCCCCTTCCACGCTAATGCCCAAGGCTGGGGGGAGTCCTGAAACTGTCCAGGGCTAGGGCTGGGCTGGGCTGGGCTGGGCTGAGGCGGGCAGCACAGATCCAGGAAACCTGTGAGTGAGCGAGTGTGGAAGCGCCTAGGGAACATGTGATTAGCTAATGACTCATTGCAGTCGTTGTGGAGCAGCTGTGCCCCCCAGTGGACGGCACGCATCCTGAGAGCTCACAACCATCTCCTCAGCAGGTAGCAGGCCAGCAGCCGTGCCGGTGGGGAAAGAGCCATCTGTCCCGGACCCACGCTCCCCTTGAGAAATGACCTAACATTGCCAGGAGTGAGGGCTGTCCTGCTGCGGGCCACAGGCCCCTCGGCACTATAAGAGCATCAGCCAGCCCGGTTGGCATGGCTCAATGGTTGAGTGTTGACCCATAAACCAAGAGGTTGCTGGTTCAATTCCTGGTCAGGGCACAAACCCGGGTTGTGGGCTTGATCCCCAGTGTGGGAGACAGCCAATCGATGTTTCTATCTCTCCTTCTCCCTTCCTCTCTCTCTCAAATCAATAAAAACATATTTTTTAAAAAGAGCATTGGCCAGTCCCTAGTGGACATTGGGAGACTCTGTCAGACTTGGCCCACCCTGGTGCGGCCCCGCACACCCAGAAACGGCTGTGTTCGTGAGGCCTTTGGGAAGGAAGGAGGGGCTGACCGGTCCCTGCAGGCCCTCGGCTCAGAAGCTTTGCTCTGAGAGATTTCGGAGGCCCCTCTGGTGTCCCAGCCAGAACGCAGGCGGCCTCGATGCGAGGGCCCCCGCGACCCCCGTGACCGTGACCGTGCGCACCAGCACTGCCGCGGCCCTGCTGCTGGGTTTGAGATGACCCAGTTCTCAGCCCTCTTTGGCTCTCACACTAGTAAAGACACCACGGCAGCCCCGAGGCCAAGGCCATGATACAATGGGGTCAAGGTCTCAGGATCCCGCGTCCCCGCCACCAGCCTGGAGGGGCACTGGGGGTGCCTCCTCACCCTCGCCACCGAGACGGCCCCACTGCCACCAGGGACCCCCGTGTGGAAGCCTTTGCTGACCAACGGCCTTTCTTGTGATCAGCACTCCGTCCCACTTGGCGGAGAACAAGAGGCACGTAGATGCCTGTCAGTAACCGTGGAGGAGCGAGTGCCGTCAGCCGAGCTGGGGCCTCTGGGTGCCCCCCTGGGTCCCAGCACAGGCTCAGTGTCCATCTCCCAGACGAGGAAGGAGGAGGGAGCCGCACCCCTCCGTCAGCCCACAGGGAGGGGTGAAGCCCAGACTCACCCCCGTCCTGCTCTCCGTCCCGGCCCCTGGTCCCAGAGGCCTCGGCCTTGCTGCCGTGATGAGGCTCCTTTGGGCTTTCAGAGTGGACAGCCCAGGCGGAGACCACACCGATCTCCTCCCCCACCGGCCCATCCCTCACCGCCTGCCCCCCCGCCCCCCCGGCCCCCCTCCCGATGCAGACGGAGGCTAAAAATACCCTTTCGGCCCCACGTGGCCACTCAGCCCAGCAGGCCCTCCATGCCCCTCGGCCAGCTGGCCAGTCCTGTTCTCCGGCCGAGTCCTCAGCAACGGGGTGCAGGGGCCCACTGAGAGGTAGGTCCGGGGGCTCTGGAGCGGGCAGGCAGGAGGGGAGGGGGACTGGGAGATAGTGGGTTACGGTGGCAACGTCCGTGGGCTTGGCAATCACAGTGCTGGACACTTTGAGAGACTCCAGATCATGGTCAAGCCCGGCCCTCAGGGTGGGGTGGGGACTCAGACCTTCCTCTGTGCCCAGCAAGGGGGAGGCTGGACCACACCCCAACTGCAGTCAGGGCCACAGCGCCCTGCATTCGGCTGGAGCTGGATTAAGGCCCTTCCTTTGCTGCCCTGCCTGCTCAGCCCACCTCACCCCTGGCCCGGACAGGCACCGGTTGAGGCACTGGGACCCTCCAGAAGCCCCCACCCTGAGCTGTTACTGCCGGGTGGCAAGTGTCAGCAGACCATGCTCTGGCCCCACAGGAATGTGGTTGGGCACTCCCGCCCCTGGGGCCTGTCATGGTAGCAGTGGGCCAAAGGAACCCAGCAATGACGGGAATGCAAGGCCTGGGGACAGCGGCTGGCCCACTAATCTCCAGCTCACCCCCCTTCAGAGAGCAGAGCTGCCATCACCAGCCAGAGGGCCTCCCCGGGGCGGGGGCGGGGGCGTATCAGGCAGGGCCCGCTGACCCGTCCTGTCCCGGCATGAGCCCAAGAAGGTGCTCAGGACCCCAGGTGGGTTCCCTGGGTCCCTGGGTCCCTGCTCTGTAGGATGGGGATGGGCACCAGCGGGGAGGGGAGGGACCGTCAGCTCAGCAAGGCCTCCCCACCCCAGGGGCCTGCATAGTTCCCAGCTTCTCTTTCTGGGGCTTTGTCCCCAGGGACGACAGCTGTGGAAGGCGCCCCCTGGTGGACAGACTGTTTCTCTGGGGTGCAGCTCCTTGCAGCTGTGGGTAACTCCCGGCGAAAGCCTCCATGCAAACTGTTTCCTTCTCTGGGGCGGCTTTCTTAGAGTTAAATATCAGAAGAACATAAATCAACGTGCACATAACTAAATAAGCCCAGAAGCAGATTTGCTGACTCGGACGAAATGAACACTGGGCTGTGACATCCCCCTCCAGGAAGTTCACCTGAGTTTGTCTTTACCGACCTATACCCAGAGACGGCGGGACCCTGGGGGTTCAGCAGGGGTTCCCCAGTCTGGCCCCCCCACTTCCTGCGGTGTGACCATAAACAAGTGCTACTCTGTGCCTCAGTTTCCTCATCTGTGAAAGGGATGCTAAGAGCATGCACCCCACAGGCAGGTCTGTGTGGTGAAGGCGTGAGCCACCCTTGGGACGTGGCCAAGCGCATGGGGGCCTGTCAGCGGGAGCTGCTGCAGAGACTGATCACACAACCCCTCCACCATCAGCCTCTCCACCTGCAGATGAGGAAGCTGGGGCCAGAGGCAGCCATGGCTCCCCCAGGACACCAGCAGGGTCGTAGCCGACCAAGGCTCCGTGTGACCAGGGACGGTGGGGCAGGAAGCCTCTCCATGTCCCCAACGCCCTCCCCAGCCATGCGGATCGGGAGCAGGGGAAGCCGCCGAGTGCTCAGCCCAGGCTGGTGGAGGGTGGGAAGGGCTGGTGTGAATGAGACCACCCGCCCCAGCTCACCGGCTTCCTTCTCGCCCCAGGAGCTTCTTCCGGGGGCTGGCCGCATTGGCTCCGCAGTCATGGTTCGGAACGTGGACGACCTGGACTTCCACCTGCCCTCGCACGCCCAGGACATGCTGGACGGGCTGCAGCGGCTGCGCTCTCAGCCCAAACTGGCCGACGTCACGCTGCTGGTGGGCGGCCGGGAGCTGCCTTGCCACCGCGGCCTCCTGGCGCTCAGCAGCCCCTACTTCCACGCCATGTTCGCAGGCGACTTTGCCGAGAGCTTCGCGGCACGCGTGGAGCTGTGGGACGTGGAGGCTGCCGTGGTGGGGCAGCTGGTGGACTTCGTGTACACGGGCCGGCTGACCATCACCCAGGCCAACGTGGAGGCCCTGACACGCACGGCCGCGCGCCTCCACTTCCCCGCCGTGCAGAAGGTCTGCGGCCGGTACCTGCAGCAGCAGCTGGACGCCACCAACTGCCTGGGCATCTGTGAGTTCGGGGAGCAGCAGGGGCTGCTGGGCGTGGTGGCCAAGGCCTGGGCCTTCCTACGGGAGAACTTTGAGGCGGTGGCACGGGAGGACGAGTTCCTGCAGCTGTCCCAAGACCGGCTGGCCACGTGTCTGGCCAGCGACCTGCTGCAGGTGCAGCCAGAACAAAGCCGGCTGGAGGCCCTGCTGCGCTGGGTGCGCCACGACCCACAGGCCCGGGCCGCCCACCTGCCTGAGCTGCTCAACTTGGTGCGCCTGGATGCCGTGCCCAGGCCCTGCGTGCAGCAGCTGCTGGCCACAGAGCCACTCATCCTGGAGTCGGAGGCGTGTCAAGCAGCCCTGTCCCAGGGCCATGATGGGGTGAGTGGGGACGGGGAGCAGGGAGGGGAAGCTCAGACACTCCACCTGCATGGGGATGGAGAGTGCACCACTCACCCCAAGTACAGATTGTGCCCGTGGGTGTCAAACGTAAGGAGGAGGGGAACAGGGACACAGGCAGGCATGGCAGCCGCTACCACCTGCCCCCTAGGAAGCTGCTCGAGCTTTTATGGGTGCAATTTCTTATCCTGCTGGCAGTGGGGCTGGCAGGCAGGGCAGGTCCTGATGAAGTGACCGGCCAGGGTGTGGCTGGGACAGGGAGCCGACAAGTCCACCTGCTGCTTGCTCAGGCCTTGGTCCAGAGGATGTCTCAGCAACCAAGTCTGGAGACAAAACCGTGCTCAGGCCAGGGATGAGGTGCGAGGTGGCCCTGAACCACCAGGCACAAAGGCCAGCCCCGGGGTGGAGCCAGCTGGGGGCCCTGCCCCGTGAGGGAGTCCCCTTGTAATTGCTGGTGGAGGGAGGTGCGGGCACCCATAGGAGGGGCCAGTGGAACCCTTAGGTCCTGGGAGCTCTGGACAGTGGCTACTTACCAACTAGGGTGGGGCCATTTCAGCATTTCTCACCTGCCAGGGCCATCCGAGCTGGGTGTGCACATGCGGGCCCAGGAGAGCAGGGCTCCAGGCGCAGGGGGAGGCTTATATGGGGGCTTGGGGACAGTCTGGGGTCAGTTCCAAAGGTGGGTGCAGGAACACCTCTGGCGGGCGCGTGGTGGCCACTGGAAGGAGAGCTGCTCTCACGCTCAGGGCACAGGGGCAGCTGCCCTACCTCTCGCTGTTCTGTGCTTTGATGTGGTCACCACACATACGGGCACACGCACACACATGGGCACATGCACATACATGGGCACACACATACATGGGCACACGCACACATTGACACATACACACATGGGCACATGCACACACATGGGCACACGCACACACATGGGCACACACATACATGGGCACACGCACACATGGGCACATGCACACACATGGGCACATGCACACATTGACACATACACGGGCACACACACATACATGGGCACACGCACACATTGACACATACACACATGGGCACATGCACACACATGGGCACATGCACACATTGACACATACACGCATGTGCACATGCACACACATGGGCACACACAGAGAGAGGCCTACACACTGAACCTTACCCACCCACACATGTGCACTAACACGGAAGCACACCTGTGGACCCCTGTCCCCAAATGTCAAGACTACTACCTGCCTCAGAAAACACCGCCAAGGCCTGCCAGCGCTGGGCCCTGGGAGCAGGAACAGCCGCCACCCTTACCTCTGACTGCACCCTCCTGGCCCACAGGCACTGCCTGCCCTGCCCCAGCAGCTGGAGGAGGTCCTGGTGGTGGTGGGCGGCCGGGCCCTGGAGGAGGCGGAGGAGGGCGCCGAGGAGCCCGCCCCCCATCTCGAGAACTTCGCTTTCTACAACACCAAAGCCAGTGAGTACTCCAGTGTCCAGAGCTCCGCCTGCCACCGATAGGAGCCCTTGTGAGGTGCACAGACAACAGGCCATCCTGGGTGTGCCTGGGCCTCAGGGGGCTGTGGGCGAGACTGGGGGAGGGGAAGCTGACAGTGGGGGGCACTGCAAGTCCCTCTCCCTTCAGCCAAAGCCCTCGGTTTTGTTTTAGGCCATGGGACCCCAATAAGGGGTTCTGCTGCCCAGACCACACGGTATGGGATGGGTGGCCTGGCAGCTGCTTCCTCTTGGTGCCCTGTGCCCTGAGTGCCCCTGTGGCCTCAGGGTGGGGTGCAGGCAGCCTAGGGGGTGAGCACTCAGGTTCTGGATCTGCCCGAATGGGGTTCTAATTGCAGCCTTTGAGCAGTCACTTTACCTCCCCGAGTCTCGGTTTCCTCATCTGTGAAATGGGCTCCTTTGCACAGGGGCCAGCCTGCCCTTTGGATGTGCCTCTCCTGCGGGGGGTGGGGAGGGCACATTGGCCCAGGCAGATCTTTGGGCAACACTGATGCAGGCTGGCTGGTGTCCTGGGGCTGCTGGGCAGGTCCCCAGACACCCCCATGGTGTCAGTGGCTGGCGGGCTCGGGGCCGGCTGTCCCAGGTCAGGGGCTGACGAGAGGGGATTTCGGGCCTGACATCAGAAAATGAGCTCTGCTGGCTCAGCCCCGACGCAGCTGTCCCGCGGATCCCACTGGGAGGGTGGCGGGGGTGCTGGCAGGCAGAGGCCTGGTGACTGACTCCTGGGCACTCCCCACGGGTGGCACAGACATGAGTCAGGAGGGCACACAGCCCCTGCCCAGCAAGGCCCGAAGTTCTGCGTGTTCTGAAAACTGTTGTCAACAATAAACAGACTTTTCCAAGGGACATCCCCAAGGTTGTGTCTCTCCCACAGCCTTCTCTAAAAACCCAAAATGTGTCCACTTAGAGGACTTAAATATTCCCACCTTTATTGTCTCATTTTTATCTTCTCAAAGCCTTCCTGGCCTCAGCTGACCTCATGTAGCTCCACGAAGGCAGGTCTGACTCGGGTGCCTTCCTCTGTCCTAAAAGCTACCTTTGGCTGAGCAGTTGCTGTGTGAGACACACGGCATCTCATGTTGTCCCACATGTCCCTGGGAGGTGGGAATCATCCCCATTCCACAGATGAAGAGACTGAGGCCAGGCTTCCCCAGGCAACACAGCTGGTGCACGCCCCTGGCTCACGTGAGCACAGAAGGGGCTCAGGGCAAATGCGTGAGGAATTCGGGAATGAATGATGTTTCTGTTATAACCCACTAGTGACTAGAGAACAGGCCCTTACCCCCTCTGACTGAGGTGGGACCAGACCAAAGGCCCATTTGGGGTCAGTGGGGTCAACTGCAGGGTCGTGTGAGAGCAGCCTCTGGAGCCTGGCCGCCTCTCTGCTCACCCTGGGGCCGTGCTGTGACTGTCTGGGTGCCAGGCTCCAAGGGGCCACCAGGAGCCGGGCCTGGCAATGCACATGGAGCACCAGGGCCGCCTCGGACCCCACCCCCTGGGGTGGCCCCCACTGCTATGGCAGGGGAGTCCCCCCTTACCTTTTTGCTGGTGAGGGGACAGCTCTGCACCACGGAGCAGAGGAGGTGTGAGGGGCGGAGGCCCCAGCAGGGAGCTCTGCACGCTGACCCTGCCTCTCTCCTCCTGCCAGAGAGGTGGACGCCGCTCCCAGACTTCCCCGACTTCCACAAGTGGGGCTTCTCCCTGGCTGCGCTGAACAACAGCGTCTACGTCACAGGTGGGCAGATGGGGGCTCCCCCTTCGCTTGGTGGGATCCCACAGTTTAGTCAAGACTCTTCCAGAGCTTTTCATGGGGTGAAAACGAGGACATTTTAGGGCCACGGGGCCACACGTGGGTGCAGGGAACAGTCCCTGCCTGACGTGGACCCAGGTGGCCTTGCCACGCTCCGCAGCCGGGTCCTCCCAAGACGGAACCGTGTGAGGGGAAGGGGTCACTCCGCCCCTCATATCTCAGAGCTTCCAGGGTGGGGTTTGAACCACTGGTCTTGTGCCCGTTATTTGTGGAGCAGGAGGGGCCTGTCCGAGCCACCCAGCTAGGCTGTGCCGCCGTGGTCCCACCCAGCCCGGCGTCCGGCAGCACGGAGGCCTGGCCTGGGGAGAAGGGAGCAGGACCCTGGATGCCCAGTCCCCACGGGCTAAGAGACCCCAGGCTGACGGGCACCTCAGGGACAGAACCTCTCCTGGCAGGTGGCTCTCGGGGCACCAAGACAGACACCTGGTCAACCACCCAGGCCTGGTGCTTCCCCATGAAGGAGGCGGCCTGGCGGCCGGTGGCGCCCATGCTGAAGGCCCGCACAAACCACGCCAGCTCGGCGCTCAACGGGGAGATCTACGTCATCGGCGGTAAGGCCGCCCGCTCCATCGCCCCCAGCTGCCTCCTGCTCCTCTGAGCCCCCTCCCCAGCTCTCTGCAGCCTGGTGGCCTCTCAATCCTGCAACAATGGCTCCCCACCCCCATGCCCTCACTGGGGACCAGAGAGCCCCATGCTGGCCCCAGGGACGACAAGGGCACTGCCCCGCTCCTGCCTTCAGGAGCTCACCGTCTGGGGTAAACAGGACCCACGCCAGGGCTTCCGGGCAGACTGGGCAGCAGAATTCCCGCTGGGCTGTGCCACTGGACATCCTGGAATGAGGCTCCGGCCTGCGGTAGCCAGCGCCGGGTGACTGATGCACTCCAGGGACCCAGGAAACAGGACGAGTCAGTCCCCAGAAGGAGACCCTTAAGGGGCTGCCAGCAGAGAGAGCTACTCCCATCCCAGAACCGCAGCTCGGGGTCCCCTCCTCAGTGCAGTCCCTGGGGTACGGGGATCCACAGTGGGTCCCTTTGCTGTCACCTTTGCCCCACCATGCCCAGCCTGAGGATGGGCACCCACCTTAACTCCTTCCTCCCAGAGCCCCCTCAGAGCCACCCCGGAGACACATGTGGTTGGACGAATATTGAAAAACAAAATGCATTTGATGAGCAAGTTTCCCAAGGCCTCTGTAGGGGCCCCACTGGCCCCGAGGCCACTCCGAATTCCTCCTGTGCTGGCCAGCCCCTTGTCCCTCAGAGCTTGTCATGCGCAGCCCAAGAGCAGGGGGCATGCACAGGTCCCAAGGCCCAGGAACTCGGGGTCCCCACGCTTGCCCTGCCACCCAGGGCAGAGCCCAGTCATCACCACCCCCAGGCTCTGCTGGGGGCTGGGGTGGGGGCTACCTACAGCCCCCACGATGAGAGGCCTGGGGGCCAGCCTCCTGGGGGCTCCCACCAGCACCCCTCCACTGTGCCGGGCTTTACTGCGAGGCCCCGTTACTATCCTGGAGGTAGGAATTCCTGCCTAAATGTGCCCACCTCCCATGCCACTTCTTGGTCATGTGGCCTTGGGCAGATGCCCTCACCTCTCGGACCTCACTTCCCTCTGAGATGGAGGAAAGGCATCTGCCTATGAGGCCATGCCTCCCACTCCCTTCCCCTCCTGGGGCAGCAGGGTGGTCCCTGCCTCTCTACAAAGCCCAGGCCCTGCATTTCCAGGAACCTGCCCTTGGCCCTGCCCCCTGCAGCCCTGTCCCGCCCTCACAGGCACCACCCTGGACGTAGTGGAGGTGGAGAGCTACGACCCCTACACAGACACCTGGACGCCTGTCAGCCCGGCCCTGAAGTACGTCAGTAACTTCTCCGCGGCCAGCTGCCAGGGCCGGCTCTACCTGGTGGGCTCCAGCGCCTGCAAGTACAACGCGCTGGCCCTGCAGTGCTACAACCCCGTCACAGGTGGGGAACCCAGCGGACACGTGGGGCCCAGGGGGGAAACGAGGGGTCACCTGCCCAGAGCAACAGCCCCACCCGACTAGCGGCCAGGGGGGCTGGGGGCAGAGTGCCCAGGGCAGGTGACAGGAAGCCCAGCCCCAGATCTGGGAAGCTGTCTGGCGGCTGTATCTGCCTGGAACTGGCCTCATGGGCCGGAAACAGTGGCCTGGACCCACCAGGCCCAGTGGCGGCAGCTCGGTCTCTGTGCTTTGGGGCAGAGTTTGGCTCCAGCTGGGCTGTCCCTGGCTCCGTGGCCCTTCCAGCCCAATCTCTTGCCCTCTGTTCTGTCCCCTGGACAGTGGACATGTTCTAGGACCCATTCTGCAGGCTGGGTGTGAGGGTCCCACAGGAGACCAGCGGGACCCAGGGTCAGGTGGGGCCCCAGGTTCCCAGACCGAGGGGACGGGGCAAGAAGGAGGCGAGGCCCGGGGTGCCGGTGAGGGTGGGGTGGCCGCCAGTCCAAGGCCCTGCTCAGGACCTGAGGATGAGGCTCTGAGGGCCTCCTGCCCCTGAGCCCCTCCCGCCTCAGACCCTGTGTCCCCACAGAAGCCTGGAGTATGATCGCCTCGCCCTTCCTCCCCAAGTACCTGTCCTCGCCTCGCTGTGCGGCTCTGCAGGGGGCGCTCTACCTGGTCGGCGACAACACCAAGAAGGTCTACGTGTACGACCCCGGAGCCAACCTGTGGCAGAAGGTGGGCCTCAGCCTTGCCTCCCAGTGTGACTCCACAGAGAGCAGGCCTGTGGACAGCGGGACCTGGGGGTGTCCCCACAGGGGAGGGCAGTGAAGGGGAGATGAGGCCCAGCGCCTGGGCTGAGACCGTGAGGTGGGAGAGCCAAGGACGGGGGGTACTGGTCACTCTGAGTGCTCTGACCCCAGCATGGGGCGGCCTGTCCTCCTTGTTGGGTGCAAAACCAGGCTCAGCCAGAAGTGCTTCAGCCACACTGAGGGCCAGGCCCAAGAGGGAGGGAGTCTCCGTCCACAGAGGAAGTCAAGTCAGGGTGCAGATTCCTGAGCTGTGGGTGGGTGGGAGCAGCCAGCTTCTTAGCACCCCCTTCTCTTCTGCCACTGGCCCAGGGCAGGGAGTAGGAAGTGGGCATCTGGAGACTCACCCTCGGCGGCACCAGAGCCCTGACCCTTCTCCTGTTTCTTCTGGAGAAGGAGGTCAGTGCCCGGAGTCCGCCGTGGCCTCAGCACTGGTCAGTGCTGGGCCCTCCACCTGCCCTGAGATTCCCAGTCCCTGAGCCCAGGAGGTGGTTCTGCTTCCTGCAGCCGCCCCAGGCCTGGGCCACACAGGCCTCCGCGATCCCACTGCCCACAGCTGTCCCCTGGCGTCAGTACTCAGCTGACCGGAGGCCCCATTACAGTGGCACAGCAGGTGCAGGGCACACACTGCCAGGCAGGGCTTTCTTCCCAGGTCCGCTCATCTGGGCCTCGGCTCACGCCACTGCTCTGGGCAGGGTCCCAGCCATGTGGCTGCACTTGCCCTCTCCGGGCCCGAGGCGGGTAGCGGGGCGGTGGGGGGGAGTAACCACCCATTACTGCCCTCAGGTGCAGGCCACAGACAAACCTCTCCTACCGCCATCCGGGCTCTTCCAGGAGCGCCCACATCTCTCTTGGACCTTAGGCGGCTGCTGGCCCTGACCCACACCCCTACCCAGGACACTCCTGAAGCCATGGGCCAAGGCCAGGGGTGCAGGGGCCGAGTGAAGGGCCCATGGAGCAAATGGGCCCACACATGTGTCTGAGGCTGAGGCCACATCTGTCCCCTCCAAGAGAGCAGCTGAGAGTCAGAGGCTCAGCCCAGACCTCACCCTGGAGGCAGCTCCAGGCTCAGGCCTCCCTGTCCCCTCACCCCAGCTTCCAGAAATTAGCAGATTTGGGCCCCAGGGAGCACTAGGGGGCTGGAAACATCATCCTGGGCTGGGAGCCGGAGGGAGGCGGGTAGTGGGGGCTCCCCACAGAAGGAGCTGGAGGGGAAGGAGAGTCACAGGGAGCCAGAGTGACATCCCAGTCCCAGGTGTGCTGGTGCCCTGGACGGGACGTTGGGCGGGGTGCTGGCATCCTCTCTGCACGTCCCCTGGTCACCACACTCTGGCCACCCACTGGACACTGACCACTGACCACCCACAGGTGCAGTCCCTGCACAGCCTGCACGAGAATGGTGCGCTGGTGCCGCTGGGTGACGCACTGTACTTGACGGGGGGCCGCTGGCAGGGCATGGATGGTGACTACCATGTGGAGATGGAGGCCTATGACCCTAGGAGGGACGCCTGGATCCGCCACGGCGCCCTGCCCCGCCTCTGGCTCTACCACTGCGCCTCCACCGTCTTCCTGGACGTCTCCAAGTGGACCCAGCCCTTCAGCCCCATCCAGGAGCACTGAGTGGCTCCCCGGCACCCCCAGAGGCAGCCAGCTGGCCCCCCGTGGGAGCACCCCGTTTAGTTTTGCTTGTTTGTTCACTCAGCGGGTGCTGGACTCGGGGCACCAGGGACATCAGAGGGACACGGTTTTGGTCTCCGCGGCCACCACACCCACTCTGAGCTAACCCGCGGCCGCGGCTGGGACCCTGACGCCCAAAGAGAGGGAGAAGCAGCTCCCCGGCCCACAGGGGTGTCTGAGACCTCAGAGAAGGAGCAAGGGTCCGGGAAGCACTGTGAGAACTCAATGGGCTGGCCCTGGAGAGGAAGGTGCACAAACGAGGGGTGACGAGTGGCCCGGGCACTGAAGCCGCTGGGGAGGGTGGGCAGCCTGGCCCCCAGCTGTGTGACCACGGCCAGCAGCTCCAGCTCCAGGGCCCCCTGGCAGCTCAGGTGGCTGCTGGCTTGCCCCCCCACCCCCCCGAGTTCTCGGCCTCTGCTTGTTGGCACCTGTTTCCCAAAGGCTGCTCCTGGGGACAAAGGAGGACCCTGCTCAGCTTTTCTGTGCCACGCCCCTGGCAGCACCCACTCAGGCACTGGAGGAAGGAGCCGTGTGCGGTGGACAGGAGAGGGGGTCCTCTCCCTGCACAGGGGCTCCGGGGAGGTCAGCGAAGCCTTCTTGGGGGTGAGCAGGAGGGGTGCTCTCTGGCCAGGATTTCTATTTCTCGGGGTGGTGTGCATCCAAAGGCTCTTCCTCAGAATGGAAGTCCCCAGCAGGAGGCCATGTGGGGTGGGATGCAGGGAGTGGGGCCCGGGGGCAGGGATCCTGTAGGGGCTTCTGGGGAGCCTGTCGGCGGGCTCCTCCTGCCAGCACATAGCAGAACTCAGGTGGCCAGGCCCCCTGCTCCTTCTTACTTATCCTGAATGAGGCCTGTCACCAAGGGGACAATGGGGGCTCTCACTGGGTGCTGAGTAGCCCTCCAGCTTCGTTACTGGCTCTGTCAGGGTCACAGGCTGCAGGTCTGGGTCCTGGGCCCAGCTTGCTCCCGCCCCATACAGCCTGGCCGAGGCCCTGGTAGTTCCAGTATCTCTCCCTCTGGCCTGGGGTTCCTCTCCAGGGCCAACCCATGGGCTCCTCCTTGAACCCCACCGGGGACCGGAGGTGCCCCCAGCATCCTGGTTCTGAGGGAGGGTCCCTGGGCCCCCAGCTTCGTGGATCTGACCCACTTTGCTCCCAGACCTGACTCCTCATGCCCATTTCCTGCGGAGAATGAGTTTGCCCTCAGGCCCCAGACGCCGAGGGGCCTCCTGGGAGTCTGCTCCCAAAGGAACACCAGCCCCAGACCCAGGACCACTATTCAGCTGGCAGGGTGGGTGAAAATGAGGGTGAAGGTTTCTGGGACCCTGGAATCTTTCTGTACGAAAATTCTGTGAAACATTTTCTAGATAGTTATTGAAGGTGCTCAGCCAAGCGCTGTTTCAAAACAAAGACTCAGAGGTCGAAATGGACTTGCTTTGATCACAAACGGGTGTGTGAAGGGCTGGTGTCCTGGAATTGGGCTTGCTTTCTGCTCCTGCACACCCTCAGCAATGGGGGCAATACCCGGGGTGGGAGCCCCTCTTCTGATTGGCTGAGCTGCCCTTATTTGGGGGCTGGATCAGACCAATTATGTCCTTCAGGGTCCCTGGAGGAAACATGTGACACCTCAAATTGAGCGATGGGAGAGGGTTAATGAAGGGCCATTTCCCAGGTGTGGGCAAGAGCTGGAAAGCCTCCCAGGCTAGCGGAGCTGTCACCACCCTCTGCCCCAGGGACAAGGGCAGAGAGGGCTGCCAGGAGCTGGGCCTTTGCTAAAGGAACGCACCACTGCCCACTGCCACCTGCAGCCCAGCGGGAGGAAGTGGCAAAATAGGGACCCAGCCTCACTCTCATGTTTGCCCCCCAGTCTCTCCATAGCACCTCCCCCGACCAAACCCAACCAGAATCAGAGGGAAGACAGACCACTGACACTGTGCGTAGCGGCCAGCCTGAGGGGGCAGACAGCAGGCAGAGGAGGGTGGACAGGGTGCCACGGGCCATGGAAGCTTTGTAGCATACCACCACACTCTCACAAGGTGCTCGTGTAACAGGACAGGTGTAATTCACACAAGGAACACCACAGAGCAAGCCAAGCCATCCTCTTCCCGTACCAAAGTCCCAGAGATACAACGACTCTTTAGAAGGTTTGGGGCTACTGCGGACTTCCAGAAAGGGGGTGGACAACCTTGGAACACGTGCAAAAGCCCACCAAATTCTCAGGCTCACGAGGGTGAGGCGGGGAAACCACCTCCCCAGCACCAGGGTGCTCATGTCCACCAGGTGGGTGCGTGCTGTCTTTCCCACAGACAACGTTGGGTAAACTGAAGCACCACCACCCGCCCAGCAGACCCCAGTCTTCAGTGACTACACGATGTCCTCCGTAGCCAGGCTCAGCATAGCCTACTTGGGCTCAGCTCCCTTAAGGTCCCAGGTGAGTCAGGGTCTGGGGATTCCCACCACTTCCATCTGACTTGGGTTTTCTAGGACATCCCAGACAGGACCCTTTATTACTGAGCATCTTCCCTGGACTAGGCAGGGACAGTGATTGCTAGAATCAGGCAGTTGACACTCCCATGAAAATGTTTGTAATTAAATGAACTGGTCACATGACAGTTCACTGTAGTCAATTTCAAGCACGGCTCCACTTGGTAGAGCAACCAGTTGGCCCAGTGGAAACTGACTACAACAGGTTCTTTTAAAAAAAAATTGTTTTTATTGATTTCAGAAAGGAATGAAGAAAAAGAGAGAGAGAGAGAAACATCCATGATGAGAGAGAATCACAGATCAGCTGCCTCCTGCATACCCCCTACTGGGGACCAAGCCTGCAATCAGGGCATATACCCCGACCGGGAATCAAACCATGATCTCCTGGTTCATAGGTCACCACTCAACCATTGAGCCACACCAGTCGGGCAGCAGGTTTTAAATAACGTTTCATTCAATGTCATTCCATTACAATGTTGATGAGATGCCATATGAACTTGCCTCTCGTTTATATTAGTGAGCCGACAGTAAAATTAGTTTGCTGTGTGTCCTGGTTGTGCTTGAAGTCCGGGAACCTGTCAAAGATGTTAGGTGAGAATGACTGTACTGACCTGGAATCTGGGAGTGACTCACGGAGTGGGTGGTCCGAGCCACAGACGAGGTGAGGATGCTCACGCTCCCGGGGCTGTGTCACTCATCATCGCTGCCACTGCGGGACTCAGCCTGAAGCAAAGCCTGGCTGCCGTTGATTCTCCTGAAGCCCCAGCACCAGCATAGAAGGGCGGCCAGGCATGAAGCTGATGAGTGAAGCCTGACATGGACGGTGATGAGGCCTTCGTGGAGCAAGTTCTTCCCTGTGTGGAATGAACACCCAGGAGCCCCCGGGACTTCCTCAAAGCGGATAGACTGTCCCAGGGCTTCTCGGGACCAGGGGCTGGAGTGATTTTGGTCACAGCCAACTTGGGCTCAGCTCCCTTTGGTTCCCAGGTGAGCCACAATCACATTTAAGAATTGGATTCTTGCCCAGCTGGTGTGGCTCAGGGGTTGAGTGTCAACCTATGAACCAGGAAGTCATGGTTTGATTCCCAGTCAGGGCACATGCCTGGGTTGCCAACTCAATCCTCAGTTGGGGGCGTACAGGAGGCAGCCTATCAATGATTCTTTATTATCATTGATGTTTCTCTCTCTCTCTCTCTCTCTCTCTCTCTCTCTCTCTCTCTCTCTCTCCCTTTCTCTCTGAAATCAATAAAAATATATTTTTTAAATATTACTCATTCTCTGATAATTAAAAAAATAATAATAATTTGATTCTTGCCAAAATGGTAAATATAGTCATGGATATCTACCCCTTTGCATTAAATTGAAAGGTGAACTAAAGTGTAATTTTTTAAATTAATCTATAGAAGCATGATAATGTTACCGGTGAGACGATGAGACCTCATTTCCTGTCTTGAAGGAAAGATTTCAGTCAAGAGACAAAGTGCAGCAAAGGAAGGAAGAAGTTACTGCCGCAGCAAACGCACACTTAGGTGGAACGTTTATGAAAGCTGGGGAAGGGAACAAGGACAGGTCTAGCATAGAAGAAGCCACAGAGAGCCTGGCTGGGCTGCTTTGGCTCCCTGGGAGGTCAGAGGAAAGAGGGGCTGGGAGACAGGTTGGGGATAATCCTGGGATGAGCTGCCGATGCCCATTGCTCCCCTGGTTGCAGGTCTCCTGGGGTCCCGTACAGGGAAGGAGGGGGAAGGGAGAGGCACGGGCGTGCTCCCCTTGCACAGAGGGTAGTCATCTCTCTTGCAGGTGGGAATCTTAGGGGAGGTCTCAGGGGAGGGTCTCAATAGACTATTCATCAGCTTCCCAGGTGTGTCCTTTCAGGGTCATGGTCTCCTCCGATCGATCAGCCCCCAGGGCAGGGGGTCATCAGTCAATGCAGCTGGTCCTGAGGCAGACAAGGCCTAGCTTATCTGGTTTTGCTGCTTTTCCAGGCCTGGAGCTGAAATACAGCTGAGGCCTAGACGTTATCTCTAGGGAGGAAAGGGTCAGGGGTGTAAACTGCATGACCAGGGATATGCTAGGGGAGGGAAGGTTACCTGGGGTGAGGTTCTTGTTTTCCCAGTCTTGCCCCTTACTAGGCACCTGGGGCTTTCTGCCCTGGTGACCTTCTCAGTTCATTGTCCTTACTCAGTTCATATCAATCTAACTGCCTATCACAATAACATTTGCAGAAAATAACCCAAGGGACACACTAGGCAGAAGTGGAAAAGGTAAGCATGCCCAAGGACCTGTCCGGGAGGGGCTGGCTCCTAGCAGCTGACCTTGCACCTGACAACAGCGGGAACTGAGCCAAGGTGCGCTGACTTAGCTGAGTCTGTGGACTCTTCAGAGATGCTGACCTCAAGGTGTGGGGGCCGGACCTGGACGAGGTTTCACTGGGTGGCGTTGTGACCTTGGGCCAGTGCAAAGACTTGAGCCTCGGTGTCCTCATCTGAGCAAGGGGGACACTCACATGATCTGAGAATTAGATGATGTCACCTGCGGGGAGGGCTCTGGCAAACAGCAACGGTCGCCTGCCTGGACACCAGGAGGGAGGCCACCCAGCAAGCCGACTTCAGGCTCCCACTGTTTGGGGGGCAAAGGGAGCTTTTATTCCCATGACTTCACCCGCAAAGGTCCTCCCTTGGAGGAAGAGAGGAGAGCGGAAACAGCTTGACTGCGTCAGGCCGCGGGGCCGCCAGGGCTGAGGCCGTGACATGAGGGCCCAAGAATGAGGATTAGGTTTCAGCC